AGACGGTGTCTGCTCAACAGCCACCACAAAATAGAGTTAAATGTGGACTCATCTAAAGCTGTACTAGTAAATCATTTAATACCAGATAACCATATAGATTTTATTTTGTCTTACTTAAACCTGCATTTGTCATGAAGAATATGTCAGCCTGAATGATTCCTCTCCCCCCCCCGGTCATATTAATGCTCACATTCCTCGATGCTCCGGCAGAGGAGGTGGAGTAGCAGCCATCTTCGACTCGAGTCTATTAATAAACCTTACAATAAACAACCAAACAACGGTATTGTTAGATATACTTACACATTGCCATGGCCTCCGGTACCACCGTACAGAATCCTGGAGTTATCTTTAAACAGGATGTGTTCTTCAGCTCCCACATTAAACACACTTGAAGGACTGCCTTCTATTGAATACGTAACATTACAAAAATCAGACACATCCAAAACAATGTCGAGAACTAGTCCATGCATTTGCTACTTCTAGGCTGGGAAATGTAATTCCATATGATCAAGCTACCCCAATAAGTCTCTCAGACTCGTCAGCTGATCCACAATGGTAAATGGACTGTACTTGTATATCTCTTTTCTAGTCTTCCGACCCACTCAAAGTGCTTTAACACTACATGTCATCATTCACCCATTCATACACTGATGACAGGAGCATGGTTATATAATATTCATACACCACAGGAACAGCCTGCTGGAGCTAATTGGGGTTAGGTGTCTTGCCCAAGGACACATCGACATGGACTAGCGAGCGAACCGCCGATCCTCTGATCCTGCTCTACCACTGAGCCACAGAACGCTGCGGCATGTGTACTGACTAGGAAAAGAGATCCTATTCCTCCCATATCACTGATGCTTCTCTGCAGTGGCTCCCTTGAGTACCCTATTACCCCACGAGATCAACGTTCTACCAGAATGCCGGGTTTGTGATTTCTAAAGTCTCCAAAATGGGAGCCAGAGCCTTCAGCTCGTCATGCTTCTCTCCTGTGGAACCAGGTAGGAGTTTGGGTACCAGAGGCATTATACACCCTCTCCACATGTAGGAGTGGGCTCGAGACCGTGGAGATGTTGTGCTTTCTCGTCTTGCAGGTTGCCATGGATCACGGTCCGTCTGGATCGTGGCTGCTCTTGTTGCCGTGGTTCTGCTTGACACCCACTGCTGCTATAATTATTATGAGTCATATTACTTTTATAGTGTTGCTGATGTCGTTGCTGTCGTTGTTGCTGTGTCTCTGTGTCTTTCTCTCAATTTCAATTCAATATGCTGAATTGGCATGAATTGGATGAACAAGGGCAATATTATGTGGAATTGATCACATAGTAATTGGTATTTGTGTGTAGATTGTAACACACATTTGTGAACACCCTAAATTACACACAAATACCAATTTGAACACGTGTAAACCAGTTTTACAACTGCACACATTAGATTATTACTTTATACAATGTTCACAATGATCCCATTTTAAGGCAAATCAACTTCAATACACTTTCAAACGGATCCACCAAAATCAATGAGATAACACATGGTTATCGAACACCGTCCACATTTCAAAACATTAACAATAGCATGAAGTCTGGCAGCCTGGTGGAAGTTCTACAAAATAACAAACACCACTTTTTGCAACATCTTATTTTACGCCCATCAGGAACAATCCGGATTCTTTTAATGCCGAGAGAAACCACTGAATTGCCGCACATAGAACAATAAAGGCATCACACATGCAGAAGTGCGGCATCAGGAGCAAACCAAATCTTCAACTTTAATCATACGTTCAATAAAAATGTAACATATAACCACCAACCTAGATCTTCCTCACTCAACCTCAGAATGAATTAACATCCTCAAAAAAAACTAAATCCTCTTCAAATCCGTCAAAACTTCGAATTGTTATCCCTTTTTATAAGTTTGTCTTTTTATTGATAAGCATAAAATCTTGAAATTAGCAGTTTTAACTCTGTTTTATAAGTTGCTTAGAGCTTTTGGTAGGAAGTTAAACGGGTCATAATTTCCTCTCTAATATCTATTTCATATTGCTGTGAAAACATCTCCTTCAAACAACTGTATTTAATCAACTGGTGTTCCAAAAACTACATTTCACAAGATTACTATTGCACACGTCATGATGATGACTAACGTTTGCTGATCAGAGCATGAAGCATCATAATGTTACTGAATGGACCCTCTGTCCGTAGCCAATGTTTCCCTGTGCTCATTTCAACACAGATTTGTAGTTCCCTCTGTAGGATTATCAGAGACTAGCAACTACACTACAAGCACTGATGGCAATCTCCCGATTGCATATTCTTACTGAACATTGGCCGATAACAATCAGCAGTAAAAATATATTTAACTCTAAGATGGTTAAACTGTGGTAGTTCACGGATCAACTGGTCCATTAGACCTCCAGTGAACAGCAGATGTTGTTGCTGCCTTGGCATTTAAGCTGTCACTGCCAGCTTGAGAGACTCATTTAAGTATATATTCCTTTAGATCTACATTCTATCAATCTACACTTTTCATACTATCTATGCCATGCATTTTTCTGGCATTATTACATTTTGTAATTACTTCCCCATATATATATATATATATATATATAGGTCTGTTAACGCCGCTGGAGTCGCCGCTGGCTAATCGCTCCAATAACAGCTGCTTCCTCCGCATGTCGGCAGTAGTAGAATTATAAAATGCAGACTTTAACTGGACACCAGCTGCTAGTATAGACAACAAGGTCAGCAACACATGTAATCAGTTGTCCATGTTGAATTAACCTGGTAGTTGATCGATAATCAAGGCTGTTGTTGTCACGTGATAGGGGCGTCACGAATCAGGGAAGGAAACGTCGTGACTGCTAAGAACCAATCAAGTAGTGAACGCAGGTGTGAGCGTCATCGTTTTAAAACTTCCGGTCCACACTAGGAGGTAACCCCAGAGTTTTCAAACTTACCTGGCCTCTGTGTGTGTATATATATATATATATATATATAATATATATATATATATATAGTTTACTTATCCCAAGGGAAATCAATGTGCAGCAGTTGCAATACAAAATGGAAAGAGTGTGAATACAAAGAGTATTATATAAAGATATACTATTTCATTGCATTTCAGAGTCTAGGCTACAACAAACTGAAGTAGGTGGCAGGAGCCGTTGGGGGACCTGAAGGTATCAAAGCATCATCTACACTGAGCAGCATAGGCACACCTTCAAATAAGTATGTTTGCAGTCACTGAGGAACCCACAGTTATAGTGTGTGTGTGTGTGTGTGTGTCTGTCTGTGTGTGCTGGTGTCAGCAAAAACATACTCCTATACTCATAATAAAATAATAATAATAATACATTTTATTTATATAGCGCTTTAAAAGGCACTCAAAGACACTTTACATGTTAAAAACAGAAACAATAGAAGCATTTATAATAAGAACAAAATATACGACATAACTAAGAAAAAAATAATAATAAATAAATAAAGAAAGTAAGAAAACATACATGACTGACTTTAGAGGTTAAAAGCAGATTTGAATAGGTGAGTTTTAAGTGCAGTGCTCATATCATCTGCAATCCAGCAGCATGTCAATCTCCCTGCCTGTGAATGTAAACTACATGCTCTCCACATTACCCTTTGTCTGCTTGGATTGTTTGATTGCTACATTGTTACAGTAAACACATACAGTAAACACATTAGAGTTCTTGCAAACTGCAGTACATTGTGGGCTAACTGGACGCCTTGTAATTCAAAGAGAAACAGGCCGTCACAATCCATACCCCTGGAGGAGAGGATGTTCTTGTATCTGGAAAAATTACAGTTTAGTTGTTGTGAATCTGACGGTTACAAAGTGTAAGTGGCAAGAGATGGCCGTAATTATGTAACACTGGATAACAGCAGTAATGGTTATTGAATAAAGTGACAATAACAGACGATAACAAGTTTTTGCATATTCGGCACCACCTGCTCATCATCTTCCAACGTGTACGCCAAGCAGACCTGAGAGCTGTCAGCCTACGCTGGACTGCCCCATGTACATGGTGCCCCCCCCCTTGTCTTTAATACACTACTCTCGCACTCACTTCACTTCAATAAAAAGGATCTGCCACAAAACCTCTGTAGCAAAAATAATAAAGCAGTGAAAACACTGCGAAAGCAACTTCTTCTGTGTTTGATTTATACTCTAAACAGCAATATAACAGGTTTATATTTGCAGTCTTCCCACATAGCCTAAGTGCTGCACAGCAAGTTTTATCAGGAAAAATAAAGTTTTATTGTATCTTATCCCAGGAATGTGCCAAAAGGCATCAAGTCTGCCAGTAATGTGAAAGAAGAATAACTTATTTTGGGCCTGTACTGAAACACAGTACGTCCAATAAGCAAAAAGGAATAATCGTCCATTACGAATGAATGTCTTGTATTTTCTCTTTTGCTCTTGTGTTTTGTGAAAGGTTATGTTTTTTGAGCTATTTATTTCTGAAATGTGTTGTTTTCTGAAATGTTGTTGTGTTATTGAGTTTTGACTCTCAGGGCCACTGTACATCAAATCACGTGACCAGCTTTTCAAGTGAGTCATGTCACTAACAATACTAACGATTCACAACTGACGTTACGAAATATCCTTGTTTAATTTTTGTTTTTTTGCACGGGACACAAACAGTGGTCTCCTGGGTGAAAGTCCTGGGATTGTTTCACCCATCCACCAGCCTTTCAACCGACCTGTGCGGACTGTCTCGCACTTTGATTGTCTAAAAAGGACGCAGGTGTGTTTACATTGGAGTTAGCCGAAAGCCTGATGCGTCGCAAACACACACTAAAGGGTTCCTCCGTGCGTCAGTGTCGGATGCCGAGGAGTACTGATCAAACTGCGATATCTGACGCAGTGAGAACAGCAGTGGAAGAAATCAAACAATAAAGGAAATTGCACAGGGCAGGAGAGATCCATGAGCCATTGGCCCATTCATGTTGATGTGCTAACATCCCCCTTTCCTTTTCCCACAGGACTACACCATCACCATGTACTTCCAGCAGTCCTGGAGAGACAAGCGCCTCTCCTACACAGGCATTCCTCTCAATCTCACTCTGGATAACCGGGTGGCAGACCAGCTCTGGGTCCCTGACACCTACTTCATTAATGACAAGAAGTCCTTCGTACATGGGGTGACAGTCAAGAACCGGATGATTCGCCTGCACCCTGATGGAACTGTGCTCTACGGTCTCAGGTGAGAGCTGTTTCTACTCTTCACTTTGTTGTTGGACTACGTCCTTCTAATGTGTTATTTGGTGGATGAGTGGAGTAAGCAGTTGTTAACGGACAACAGTGCAAGTAGTGGCATTGATGCTATTGCTTTTAGTATCCAGGTCCCTGCTAGGGCCTGCAAAAGTCTGTTGGTGGCCCAAAATAGTGTTCAGCGCGTCATACTACTTTTGGCTTTGCTCCACTGCTTGACTTTTTGATTTTCCCATTATCTTTTTTCATCTTTTTATGTTTTTTCCTTTTATTGTTTAACCCTTTGTTGTATTCTGCAACGTATGTTCCTCCTTGCAATATTCCAAAGGAACTCCATATTCAATTTCAGAGGTTATGTGCACTGGCATTGTGTGGCGTCGTGTCTGTTTCTCCGCTCCCCCTTTTTCACAAATTGACAATTTTTATCCAGTTTTATCCACATTTTACGCAAAACTTTTTAGCTGTTTTAATCCATATCTTTTAAACTAGGAGTATGATGTCAGCCAACACGTACTAGACCTCTTAAGTTTAACGTTCCCGAGACCGGACAGCCTGCCGGGGCTACTACCGGCTTGTTTTCAGCTTTAAGCTTTGTAACGCTACGGGGACCACAGATACTGAGTGTCTACGATCGGGCAAACTAAAAACAGGACCCTCTGTGAATCAGCTTTCACCTTTGCTATGTTCATGCGCCGCCGTTGCCATTGCGAATAATAAGCACATCTTGCGGCAACCTTGGCCCATCCTCAGAGCACGCTGTTTGGTTACCACTGCAGAAGAGAGTCCTGTCACTGATTATAGTGCCTGTCAGCCAGTCACACTGCAAAGGTGTAATGATCGGTAAATAAGGAAAAAAAGTGTTTCTTTCAAGCAATAAGTCCAACAACTTTTTTTTTATGATTAATGATTACATAACTTCATCTTTTAAAGCTGATTGGCTTTTCCAAACAGTGGCGACAATAGAGCCATTCTTAATTAGAATACAACTTTTCAGTTAGTAGCAGCTTATTAGCATGGAAAACCTCAAATACCTTCCATTGGTGTTTTGCTCTGTCTGTATCTCCGGAGTGTCTTTGAGGGAGAAGCAGCGGGTAAATCATTTATGAAGCCTCTTCTGGTGCAGTGTACACAGGGCCGTGCCCTCTGCAGCAGAGCATAGTTACAATGAAGTGAGCTGTGTGGAGGTAACTGAGGGAACGCTGGGCCGGGCGCCGTCAATAATTCAGTCCTCTGAGTTCAAAGGCATCCTGTGTTTCAGAGAGAGAGAAATAATCAAGACAGTTTATTAAATGCTCAACCAGAGATCACTGTTACACCACAATAAGCGGGGCCTATCACGCCGTCCCTCGTGCTGCACTGGGACACTCTGACCACGTTGTGGTCCATCTGATTGCTGCATACAGGCAGAAAATAAAGCTCTGCAGTTTGGATGAGTAAACAGAGGCTGTGACATCATACATCAGCTTCTGTGAAGACAGCTGTGTTCCAACAAGCACCAGGGTGAGTTATAACAACGACGAACCCTGGTTCACAGCTAAACTCAGACAGCTACGGTTGCAAAAGGATCGTGCATTTAGGAGTGGGGACAAGGACATGTTTAAAGAGTCAAAATACAGGTTTAGCAAGGCGGTGAGGAACGCTAAACGAATGTACTCTGAGAAACTGCAACACCAGCTCTCAGCAGGTGACTCTGCTTCTGTCTGGAGAGGCCTCAGACAGATCACCAACTACAAGCCTAAAGCCCCCCCCCCCCCCACTCCATGAATGACCTCCACCTGGCAAACGAGCTGAACAAATGTTACTGTCGCTTTGAAAGACAATGGGACAGTCCTGACCCCACCCCCCATGACCCCCATGTCCACAAGCTCCAGACCACCAGGTCCCTCTCCCCCAGGTCGTTTTTTTTATTCATTTATGTTTGGTTCACATCAACGGCTTTGGCTTGTGTTGTTGACCAGCAACAGTAACAGAACCTGGCAACACTTTACATTGTTTGCTTCTCTGCCTTCATACAGGTGGCCTTCCTCTCTGATTGATGGAGCTTGTTGTAGCCGTAGCCAGTCTGAGAGCAATCTGCAGACAGTGCTCTACTGTACTGTTCTAGGTTTTTTGGAAAATGTTGAATATATTTGACTCCGTAACCCTGTGTAGTCATCGTATTCTGAAAAAAAGATGCAACAACTTTTAAGTAAAATGGCTTTTTAAATAATGCAGCCATTTATGTAAAAAATGCGATTCTTTGATTTTCATATTAAAGAAACCTTCATATGACATGTGATCTCATTCATAATCTTTTCTTTCCTGTAAGGATATGAATGTATATAATTGTGACATTATATACAGAAATAGAAATAGCATCACATATACATAAGATGTATATAAATAAGAATTATACATAGCATAATAGCATTACCATATAAGTAATATTGTTAACAAGCATTCATTTATTAGATCTTGCTTCAGACACGGAATGGCTGAAATATTTGTTTAAAACAGGATATAGCACATAGTTTTCTTCTCGTTTGATGATTTTTATGTCTTCATAAAAATTAGCAGTTGCTAATTTTACTTCTTATGCTTTGGTGGCCATTGTGGAAAATAATAAGATATTAAAGCTGCAAGCAGCAATGATCGGGCCCTTTGCACCTTTGCGCACGTCAGGTGTACTGGATGGAAGCCGATTGGCTCAGCCGTGCATTTCCATGACCATTGGACACTACATAATAAGACATTGTTTCCACTGTGGAGTCTGTGGAGTCTGTGGCACTTGAATTGACATATTGCACATTTTTCACCACTTCCCTTGTCCATTGTGTGGCGCTTGAGAACATGCGCTAAACATGTATTATGTCTATTAATACTAATTGTAGACCCCACAATATGAATTTAATATAAATCGGATAATGTTTCTCACATAACGCTGATTTCCTGTTAACAGAATGGTCGTATCCACCATTGTGGTCACAGAGGTGCAGACCTCTGTGTTTAACTTGAATTTGGTGTGTAGAAGATATCGTGCAACGCTAAGACAACCGACCTGCTCATCTGTTCGTCGTCATTGCTTGAGTGCGTGTTCATGTGCGTATAGGTGTTGACGTGGTGAAGTGGAGGATCTTGTTGTTACTACAAAATCGTCAGAGAGAAGGTGATCGAGATGAGAGAGGAACGGCAGATAATCGATACTGTGCCCAGTATAGGATTAGCATGATGCTGTTCAACACAACCAAAATCTCTCCTGATCCAATTTAAACTGTTATTACCGCAGAGATACATAGTTCTTTGATTTATACAGTGGAACCTGTAGGCTCAATATGTTCTATCATTAATTGTAGTGTAAAAACAGAGCATTATTCTATACAGATATTATTGAAAACAAACACTTTTGTTCTGTTTGAGACATATTTCTATAATTCAAATACACAATGACGTAAACTCAACACAGAGATCAATTGAAGAGGGTGTATAAGTAAATTGTCAGGAGAACGAGGAGTCACAGAGAACGTGAGAGGCAGTAAATAGTGTGAATTAACTTTTAAATAAACGCTAGCATTTCAAGTTTGTACAGTTGAGCTACAACATCTAGTTGTTTAATGGCGAGTCATGTAAAATGGCCGCCACCCCAAGGCAACACCGTTTCTTGAAACCTCAATCTTTTCATAACTTTTCATCGGTCAAAGGTCTTTAGATTGAGGGTTTATCTGATGAATTATTTAGTCTGTTGAAGTACAGCGCCTCAAAATGGCAAATGGCCCACTTCCTGTTGGGTTTAGAGCATGCTCCAAGAGACCTTTTTTAAGTCTACATGTGATACATTTGCTTTCCAAATTCCATCGTTATAAAAACTGAGGTTTTTGATAATTTTTCACGATCAAGTTCTTGAGATAGCACTGACTGAATTTGGTGTTGATGTCATGACATCTGTGGGAGTTGTTCATTAAAGTGAAGGGCGATTTGAATGAAACTTTCAGAGAATGATTCAGGTACTTATGTGGACACACAAGCAATTTGTGTGTGACTTTGTGACTGACTGATTTTTTGGTTGATTCAAACACGTAGCAAAGTAGGTTCAGTGCCGACTGAATGTTTGCCATTATGGAAGAGCTGAACTGCAACGTCAGTCCTTCCTGACCTGAAACGCTATTTTTACTGGCCGTACACACTCTCTGCACCTGCTTTATAATTCATCTCCCTAATGCGTTTCCAGGTAAGAAAATAATAAATATTCATGTCTTGAGGGGCTTTTTACGTCTTGAAATATTAATAGCTAAAATATGCGTGTAGCTGGACAGTCATAGAGTGAAGAGAGATGATCAAGGAAGAGCATAACCAGTTTCTGGGCTTCAGAAGTCACGCTTGTCGTCCCTTTTCTCTCTCCAGTAAAGGTTTGCTTGTGCACACTTACTTCACAGCATAGTTTCCAATAAGTGCTGAAAATATGTTCATGTACAAAATGTCTGCAGCACTGAGCTCTGCACAGCCATGATGAGCAGAAATCCAAACCACTGTCACATTCAGCAACTGGACGGACTCTTTATCAGAGATGCACATAATACAGATACATGTCAAGTTCATTTACGACCTGTCTATGTCAAGTACAAATATAACCATCCACTGAACCTTGTTGTAAAAAAAAACCTTCATCCACTCATTCTAGAGAGTCCTGCTGATCGGGTGTCACAGTGGTTGTATGCCTCTGGGTTGGATGTGTAGTACGTTACCTCTCTGTGTGCTGCAGCAATTAAATACTTTAACTGTGGCTGTTGAAGTACATTCTTGATCTTGGAATTAATCTTCTCTTAACTCTTAAAAGATTTGAGTTTGAAATTTACGATTGAGTTTTCTGCATCGAGTCATAATCGTTGAGAGAATCGCGATGCATCTAAGAATCGATTTTTGAAAATCCATCTTCCTTGCAGTTTTTGGTGTTAAAAGTCAGCAAAAATATCCATTCAACTGTCAACAATTATCAAACAGATTAACATATTGTTTAGTTCCAGCCCAAATGTGCCTATTCCACAGAACATTCTGTATCCAATCAATGAGCATCTGTACCTTCATTGAGAGTCTACAAGCATCCAGTTGAAGGAAGAGCGTCTGAAGGACTTCCAGTTTCCTGACGATAACTTCAGAGCATATATTACACCCATTAAGAGTGCACATGCAGAGGCAATGTCTCCCAAATCATGCAGAACTTGTACAGTCTTGATCGCTATCCCATCGTCGGCTGGAGGAGAGCGGACACGGACCTCTGAGGCTTTGCTAGCTAAGCTGCAAAAGCAACATGCTCAGAAGATGTTGGTTCTCTTTGGATCGAACTACATCTGTGAACAAACATTCTCCGTGATGAAGTTGAACAAATCCAGATACAGATCCTCTCTCACTGACGATCAGCTGTCAGCTGTCCTTCACATCTCACCTCACACATTCAACCTGACTTCAGTGCACTCGTTTAAGCCCAACACAGACTACAGTTCTCACACTGAACTGACAAACAGAAAATGAGGTCATTGGACAACAAACAATAGTAATAAAAGTACAAATTGATCAGAAACATGATCCCTGTCAGTGTTTCACTATTACATATAGATATTACATATGTATATATTTTTGATCATTGTTCCTGTATAAATACACTGTTGTTCAGTTTGGGTAGTCGCAAGGGTTTGAAAAATTGTAATGTAACTAGTAACTAAAGCTGCCAGACATATGTAGTGGAGTTAAAAGTACAATATTCCCCTCTGAGATGCAGTGGAGTGGAAGTACAAAAATAAAATGGAAATACTCAAGTAAAGTACCTTGAATTTGTACATAAGCAAATATAATTATTTGTTTGTTATATTCCACCACTGATCATAATATTTACTCTTACCACTCATCAAAACTATACAATGTACTGCTTTTTATAAAGAGGTGGAATAATATAGAGCAGGACTGAGTTCAGTCCATCAGTCCGGCCCTCCACAACAGTCCCCGTTACCCATGGGGCCCCGGGGGGGAAATAATTGCCCACCCCTGCCATAGACTATAAATGTCCACTTACCTCTTAAAAGTCTTAAAACGAAGACCAACAGCAACTTGTAGGCCAAAATGAACTTAAGTTATGGAGGGAATCTAAAGCATCTTGATCTTCTTCTTCTTTGGGGTATTACGGCAGCTGGTGTTGCATTACTGCCACCATCTGGATGTAAGAAGTATCTCAATCCTAATTCACTTAAAGGGAATGTTTTATGTTTAAACAACACATAAATATTTTGTACAGAAAACAAGAGACAACATTAGGTAGACTTTTTAACTTAACGAAGGCATGTATTTTAAGTAAACCAAACATTAATCTCTCATGAAACTTGAATGCTGGATGTGTAATGTGTGGACTGAATTGCCCATTTGTGCTTCTACTAAGTGAGGATTTCTAGTTGTGGAGGTAATGTAGTGTAAGGGCACAGTGTGTTATTGCTCATGATGGATTTCTCTTCAGATATCAGTATATGACTGGAAATCTTCTTTTGTTTCTTTCAGGATCACCACGACAGCTGCCTGCATGATGGACCTGCGCAGATACCCACTAGATGAGCAGAACTGCACCTTGGAGATTGAGAGCTGTAAGTAGCAAGTTTGTTTTATGTGTGTGTGTGTGTGTGTATGAATGGTCATAGAGATGCAGCCACCTAGATGTTCCTCTCCCAGGCAGTTCCTAGCCAACTTACAGTTTTGTGTATAGATTTCACGATAAACATACCCATTTATTAAATTGCAGTGTGTCACCATGAGATGATGCTTCTTTCACAAAATACATAAACCGACTGAAGTACACAAAGGAGTTTACTTTTTTGTTTGAGGCCATGGTTTTCACTGTATGTTTCTTAGGCTTACAGTAGTTACTGGAACGTACATTTAGTTTGTCTCCCTTTAGTTTATCAATTGTTATACCTTTAATATGTTTACTAGAATAAACCGTGATTTTCAGTGGTGTAATGTAACTAAGTGCACACAATACTGTACCTGAGTACAATTTTGACATCCTAGTACTGTACTCAGTAGTATCTCCATTTTATGCTACTTTATACTTCTACTCCACCAAATATTGTAATTTTTTTCCACTACAAATAACAATACATATAACATATTACATATTACAAAGCTTTAGTTACGAGTTACTTCGTTTATTTATATTTTGTATGAATATATACTATATTATTATAGGTTAAGCCACCCAGCAGTATACTGTATAAAGTAGTTATCTAACCTTTACCAGATGCAACATATAAGTGATAAACACATAAATGCATCAATAATTATAATTAAATAATGCAATCATATGAAATGGGCCATTGTCCATAATGAAATAACTACTACTTACTTTTTGTACTTTAGGTATATTTTAATGCTAATATTGTTTTAATTTTACTTAAGTAAGATTTTGAACTGCATTAAACAGGTTTGGTGTGAAAGCACCTAAATGTTGGAATTGTACAGACGTGAACACACAGCCTGCACCAGGTTTAAGGTTTATGGTCACTGCAACATCGAGTAACGTCAAGGTTGTCTTTGTTATATGTTGTCAAGCAAGTTCACCACCAATGCATCGAAGATTCCCCTGACATTGTTTCAGTTAGAACAGAGCTCAAACATGACAACCCGAGGCTCAAAGTGGGCCGGTACTCACCAGTAACGTAGTACCGACACTTCTAATTGTTACTCTTTGGCGTACCGTGACTTTTTCTTGCCCTTACCCTCCTCTGCCCTCTACTTATCCGGTTATCTGGTTGATTCATATTGGTGATTCATAACGACGCAGCAGCTCATAAGCCATATGGACATAAAAGCAATGTGCAGAGCGCCCAGTCCAGACGAGGAGGAATGGTGGGAACGAGGAGGAATGGTGGGAACGAGGAGGAATGGTGGGAACGAGGGTACTGTCATTTATTCATTCTTTCATTTAAAATCTGCTCTGTTGATTTACAGAACAATAGCGAGTCAATCTCCATAGCACCCCTATTTGATCTAATTCATCCCCCGTTGTTTATTTATCTATATACAAATAAAGTAAAAACAACAAAATGACTGGCCGAGATACATGTGATTATTGTTCAGCTGTTGTAATGACTGTTGCTGATGCCACCAGAATGACCGATCCTCTTCCTGAATGCACGCTAAAGAGGCGAGGAATCAGAGGAACTCAAGAGACAGATGCTTAGAGGAGAGCTCTGGGCCACAGTCTGTGAGAGAAGTCATCCACTCCTAATGGAGGGTTGTTGAGGGATGGACCTCCGCGAGACAATACGTCTGCAGCGAGGTACTGTAGTCCAGGGATTTCCACCACTCTCATGGTAGAGCATGTGTCTCTGTGACCACAGCAGCAGGCTCCAGGCTATTTTAAGCTGCAGGGCTGAGTGCACACCTTTCTGCTTGTCCTCGCGTGACATGTTTGTTATCCGATGTTGCAGTACTTTTAGTGCCATGACTGACTCCAAACAGCCTTTGTGGTGGGATGGAGGATTCCCCAATTCCCTCACAACTTAAAACTGGCATCTCCCATTCCATCCAGAGGGGGATGCGTCCGTGAACGCCGATACGTGTAACTCGCTCTCCTGATGATGGAAGACACAGGGTTTTTGTTTCCAGAATGTCAGGTCTGACTGCAGTTAGGGAAGGATGGTCAGCATTTGTGCCAAACTGGATTGAGACAGAGGCCTCAAAACCACCTCTGGATTGTTCTCTTTGTGGAGGAGTCCCAGGGGGACAAAGACATGGCTTGCAGACATTGTAGTGCCGCTGATAGCACCATCACCACTGTGTGGGTGCAAAGTATCCTGATTGTCTTCCAAGCTGCTGTCCGCCACCTTCAACACAAAGCACCGTAAAGTCCTCCTCTCTTAGCCACAGCTCCTCCGTAAGCCAGCGAGCACAGAACTTGAAAGCTGCATGTAGCATATCCGTCTGCCAGTACACCAACAGACACTGCTAGACCTCTTCACCGTCTTTAGTCTTTGACCGCTTGACGCTGATGAAAAAATGGTAGAAGAACTACGATCGCACAGCTGTTATATGTTGCAAGTGCAGATGTAACTGGGGCGCAAAATGAATCTGCACAGCTGTGCATGCGTATGGTGATGGATCCAATAGTGACACCTTTTAGAGGGCAAAGCCAATAGGATACAGAACCTCAACCCAGCCAACTCCACAGTAGGAGGAATGTGTTTCTCACTACGTACCCAAAATAATAATAGAGCCATACATACCCTGTTTAAAATGAATGTCATCACTATCCTACATGTCATGGCATATTGGAATCTGTTTGTAAATAATATATAGGCTATTAAAAGAAACTCTGTGCACTTCCTCATGAATACTTAATGGTGAATAAGGTTATGAAACTGTCCTTTAAAGTTATTCATAAATATTACCTTTCCGTTTCACTATGCGCAAAAAACAAAACATGAACACAAACTGCTCTCTCTGGGATGTTTCTGTGAGAATAGTTATTGTATAGCGGATTTTAAAACACAAACCGACATTATCGCAGAACTGAACTGACTATTTAAATCTTGCCGATGTGTAGGCATTTGAATAAAAGTAATGCATTGATAATAATGAAACATGTCTGCAGCTAAACCATACCTAGGTCTAATGATTTTTGTCCATTACAAGTATACCGACATTTTAAAATAATCTTCTCACATAGCCTACATTAAGTGGATGAGACGAAAAAAAATCAGAGGATAAAATCATAATGAGGCCCTTCCAGTAATGAGATGTAGCTAATTCCCTAAAAAACCTTCTGCTGCCTTTAGATCAGATGGAGAAACATAAGAGAAAGACTAGCTAGCCCAATTAAATTGCTCTAATTACTGAGAGGGCAGCGGGGTTCTGTTTCACTCTGCTTCCGGCTGTAAACACAGCCTGGAGAGAGACTTTATTGTTGTTTCAGTTCAGCCTATGGGAAACTTGAATATGTTCAGCAGCTGAACAGAAAAAGGAGAGGCCTAGTTCCTGCTTCATCAGTCTCACTGATTTGTTTTTTCTTGGACCAGGAACATTTCACTGTTACTATCATTTCTTGTTGAAGATTTGAATGTATTTTCGAGACAGAATTCAACAAAACGTAGCGTGCACGGAGATTTTGGTCAAATATTACATCTGTCATTACCGTTGCTTAAGCCTCACAAACATAAAGCCCAGTACTTTATCTGTATAACTGTAATCAAGCTCCTAAAATTTGATAGAGGGCATTTGGACACTCGCCAAGCTATTTTCACTTCTGCACCACTGTAGTGGTCACGGCATGACTGGTGTTCCAGAGATCTGACCTTCTTGGATTGTGGCCGCTCTTCGACTCATGGCAGTGGTAAGCCACCAGCAATCTGATGGTGTTGGAACCATATGGCTTCCTCCAGTTGCATTTCCTGGGCCGGATACATTATCTCCTTCCATTATCACGATGGCAGCTGTAGCAACTGCCCTGACAAGGGTGCAAGGGCTGTGTGTCCTACATCCTCCCCAGCCAGAGGGATGGGTACTCTGACCAGGTACAGCTTGCATTGCCCCGTCTTACCTGGTATAAATGACAGCTGTTTATACCACTGGTTCCTTTGGAATGAAGATCCTGCCAAGCTGGTCTATAAGTGGTATTCTGTCCTCTGGCTTTGCCTCAATTGTATGGCGGGGGTTTTTGTGTGTGGGTTCTGTCGTGGCAGAAATGACGAGAAGTGACGTAGTAGTGGTAGTACCACAAATCCGATGTGTTAGTTCTTACGTCTTACTCTTATAGTTTAAATTTAGCCCCTTATGTCACTTTCCACCAATCAAATCCCATCGATTGAACCACTAACAAAGCACATCTGGTCTCCTCATTATGTCCTGCTCTCTTGTCCTCGTCTGGGTCAAGATAACATTTTGGCAGGACAAATGATACTTATACGGGAAATGTTTTTCGTACATCCGCCCAATTTTCTTGATTCCGTTGTGTCCTGTGCGGGAAATGGCGTTGCTGGCAGTCTCATTAATCCTTGTCTTTTCCGGCTTTCATGTGGTTGCCCACCGTTGCTCCTGTGGACAGGACTACCTGATGTGGTCCTACATTATATCATCATATAAACCTATAATTTGGCAGGCAATTTTCCTTCTTCAACCTTGTTTAAGTCTTAAATACCAGTCAGTTAACAATACATCCATACAAAAAAACAGAATAACTATTTCAAATTTCATTTCCTTTCTGTATTTTTCCCAGTTTTTGTCAATTATTTACTATGTTCATCAAAATTTTTTAAGATGTAGATCTGAAATAATAAGTCACCATCTGTGAAATTACAGGAATTATGTATCTTTTCAATGATAAAAACTGTATTTTAACAGTTTATCAATGCTTGAAGCTAGTATACACTAATAAAATACATTTATTCAACATTTTTGTTCCATAATTAAACACAATGTCTGTCAACTGACAAAGAAATCTAAAAACAACTTTTCTGTTTGCATGAATATTTTTTACAGTTTTAACAATCTTTTTATGCTGAAACACTAAATTTACTTTAAGAAAATAATAATGTGACAAATCTGTAACCGTGACAAAACATGTTATACATTTGACATCTAAATTCATTCTCTACTTTTGTATTCTTGGGATATTTTCATATATTTTTACAAAACAGGAAAAGCTGTCAAATCTAAAAGTAAAAAAGTTTTTACAGTGTAGATTTTTAGAAGGTTTCTCTTGCTGTAAATTTGAGTTTTTTGTTTGTGACAATCCAAGAAATATTTCATAAAGTCATACTTTGTATTTATAGGCCCCCAACGTCGTCATAACTGCACGCTTGCTTTCATCCACTTACGTATGTATTTGACCTGCTTATTTACAGCTCTGTCACTGCCATCAGCAACAACATCGGAATCTTTCACCCGTTGGTTTCGCAGTTTGTTCGTAAAGAGAAACCCAACCAGACTATATTTAAATTTCTCCAACACGGACTCTGTCAGGTAGACCAGATATGTAAACAGCTGTGATAACAGCATTCTCACCTGTCCGGGTACCAAAGTGAGACAACGCTTCTGAATTCCAAACTAAACACGGCTGGTGTGAAAGCGTCTTTCGCTGTCAGTGTCCACTCATGATGGCATTCCGTTCACTGCATTGTGCCTGAATCCCAATGTGCTTGTCCCCGTGTTTCAGTTGAGGTTTAACTTGTTGTATTCCCCTGCCTCTCTTAGATGGATACACCACTGACGACATTGAATTCTACTGGCAGGGAGGAAGCAACGCAGGCTCGGTCACTGGGGTGGAGAACATTGAACTGCCCCAGTTCTCCATCATGGACTACCAAACCCAGTCCAAGAAAGCTGTGTTTGCCACAGGTAACAGAGTCATATGGTATCAGCTCAACTCTTTTCACCGGTGCTTTTTAGTAAAAAAAGAATGAAATTTGTTGTACAATAATTGGTGGGATATTGTATGGTACATTCAGAGACAGAGTCATACCACTTTCTTTTCTTTCTTTTTGACCTAATACTGTTTTCATTTACTAATTAAGTCCAATGCATTGAAAGAATCGACTTTGTCTCCACTGTGTATAGCTTCAGTATTTTTACAGAGATCCAGGTTTATATGTTGATGGCTGAGACATTGTGTCCAGACAATGCCAGTTACTCTGTGGACTCCAGCCCCCTAAACCTCTCTTTAGTCTCCTTCTGTTCTTTGTCAGCCCGTGTTTTCATTCATCGAATTCACACAGTTTTCATTTACGTAGATTTAGCTGTTTCTGTGATGAAATAGTGATTGTTCATGGCTCATAAAAATGCATGTTACCAGCAATCATCCCCAAGCTGCCGCACTGGCCCGTCTGTCTGCTCCAAAATCAACTTAAGTGCAGGTTAATATCAACAGCTGTGTTTAATTTAAAGTGATTGATCCCGGAGACTGTTGTCTTTCTGACTGTACATCATATTTTATATTTCATTGATTTGTTGCACTACATTAACAACGTTCTTATGAATCTGAATACATATCTGTAACCCTGTGTGTAACAGGCTCTTATCCACGTCTGTCCCTGAGCTTTAAGCTGAAGAGGAACATCGGCTATTTCATCCTGCAAACCTATATGCCCTCCACCCTGATCACCATCCTGTCCTGGGTCTCCTTCTGGATCAACTATGATGCGTCGGCTGCCAGAGTAGCCTTAGGTCAGCGACTTTTCAATTCTTTACTTGAGCAATTATGTTTGCTGGTATGAGTTTTAGTCATGTTAGTGGCATGACTCTTGTAGGCAATGTCTGTCTGTTGGCCAGTCAGTTAGTCCACTACATTGGTCCAGACTGTGTCACAACTACTATTACATGGAATGCCACGACATTTGTTTTACAGACATTCATGGTCCCCAGGCGATAAATCCAAATAACTTTGGTGACTTTTCATCTCGTTCCGTTATCAGATCAAAATGTCCGATAGAAATGTGGCCTCTATTAATAGGGATTAGTCACCACAACAGTGTTCAGTATTAACTGCTAAATATCCATCTACACTTTTTATACCAGATCTGCTAGTCATTCAGTATGCTCAGTAACTTTACTGTATGTGTTTAACAAACAAAAAAAGACTTAACAGTAGTAGCAAAGTAGATCAGGTCCGTTGTTCCACATAGTCTCAGTGTCAGGTTTGATTCCTGGCTCTCTCCAGTTTCACAAAAATTCTTTCAACATGATCACCAGATTCATGCAGAAATTGTTTGCAGGATTGTAGACACTTGAGTTAGTACTCTTGAGACTTTATTTAGATGGATGGATGGATGGATGGACTGACTTTATTGTCCCCACAGGGGACCAAATGTGATAGCTGTGACTTTAAGGATACAGAAAGGTTCCCTCATTCCTGTTAGATCACGAAAAGGTAATGCGCAATACCAAAACAAAATATTCACACAGTCCACACAGAAACAAACTCATCCCCTCGGTTGAAACTGCTCAATTCTGTCTACTTAATGTTAGGTCCCAGCCAGACAATGGTTAAGCCTGCTGATGTTTCCAGAGGCCTTTATTGTTGTTCAACCGTCATCCTTATTTTGATGAACATAAATTTACTTTTCTCTTAAGGGAAATAACCATAGGAGCTACGGAAAAGATAAAACATAGATGAGCTCTTACGAGTACAAACATTCATTAAATTACGTTCAACTATACATGTGGGCATTAATCAGAACATTTTCTCACATATATACTTCTCAAAAGCACATGTAAAGACTGAAATTTAGCATTAGCTTAACATTACAGCATAGCAATTTAGCCATATCTATTAAGTTAACATTAGCATCTAGTTGACACAGTAACACATTTCATCACCCTTTCACAGGTTAATTAAGATAGAAGGTCACTGAACATAGTCATAAAACACAATACCTTGTTCCCGTTCCAGCTAGGTGCTTAACCGTTAATGAAGCAACCCTTATTGCAGAGGAATATCTTGAAAGAATTATCAATTATCGTACTTTTTTTCATGCAAAGTCATGAAGTGAAGTTACTACTCTCAGACTAGATTTGTATCCGCTTCCGGTTTCGCCAGAAGGGGCTCACAATAAAGGACCCGAAACATAAAAAGGCACTTGTGAAATAAAAGCTGGCAGGAAGTGCTTATCTTAGCTAACTAGGAAAATAAAGGTTTGTAGGAAATATTCATTATGTCACATTATGGTACAGTTCTTGTTCTTGGTGACTTTAATATGCATCTCTTCCTCCTCCTTTACTTCTGATTTTATTAAACTTTTACATTCTTTTAATTTGACCCAATTTGTGAAAGCAACCGAGCCATGACGAAGGCAGTGCTTTTCAACGTTCCACTCTTCTCTCCCGATCACAAACCCCCCACAGTGATCTGCCCTCGCCCCCTAAATTCACTCTCTGTTCCTTGCTTCTGCCATGCTTTTACTGAATCACACACACCTTTCAATATCCGTGAAGAGTTTGGCCTCACTGTAGAGCAGCTTCTCTGTGCTTTTAACAGTTCCTGCACAAACATTTTAGATTCCATAGATCCACTCAGGTGTAAGAAGTTGAAACCTTATTTTCTGCCATGGTACAATGAAGATGTGAGGAACTTAAAGAGACAAGGCAGAACGAAACTGGAATGGAATAATCTCATCCCAGGCCTAGACAGTCGGTTGATTCAACCCCAGAGAGATGTGAGGAGTTTCCTGAGCAGTTTAATACTGAACTTGATGTTGACTCCTGCCCACCTTCACCACTAACCCATTTTAGCCAAATCTCTCTGTCAACCTTGGAACGCACTGTTGCACTTTTAAAATCATCCACTTGCCCTTCAGACTTCTTTGCCACTTGGTTTTAAAAGCTGTATTTCTGATGGTTGGTCGAGACATTTTTGCCATTATTAACTGCTCTCTGTCAACTGGTATTTCCCCTTCTGAATCTAAACATGCTACTGTTTTTCCACTTTCAAAGAAGCCCTCTTTAGATCCTTCAGTTTTAAATAATTTTAGACCCGTCTCCAAGCTGCGTAGTGGTGTGGATGTCTCTTTGCCTGTCTTTGTGCTTTACCCTGACACACACACCGATAACCCTAAACTTAATGAATGAAAGCTAATCACTTAGCTAATTGTTTAGCTGAGAGGGTGTTTTAAATATTTTGGAACTTTTTGTATTGCTGCTCAAGAAAGACTATTTGCTGACATACAAGAATGATAAAGCAATGTTGATTGTTTTTTTAATTAATTGTCTTTTTTTCTCACAATATAATCAACAGGAACCAATAAGAGTATCGATAAGGAACCAAACCGCTAAGCAGTATTGTACTAGTAATGATGAAATTATAACGATACCCATTCCTACTCTCCATGCAGTGTGGTAGTGTCGATGGCTTTGTTCGGTGGAGTTAGTGTTGAGGACATACTGTATGTACATCAGTAAAGTAACTTTCTTTTGACATTTTTTAATCTGCGGGGAGAGCAGTTGAAATTTCATTCCAAGCATTTCAATTGCATTCCTGTCTGAATGATGAGGTGACGGAGTCTCATAAATATACCAACACTTGTCAACATGTTCAGCTAGAGCTTCGTCGAACTGGTCATCCATGGTTGTTTTGAGCAAAAATGACCTCAAACAGAAGTGTCAGCTTCCTCTTGTTGTTTCCAACACATTCTCACAACCAACTCGTCAAACACCGACATTTGGTCAGTGGCCTTACCTTCAAACTAAAACGCTCTAGGGACCCCATCTACCAAGTGACTAACGACTCAGGACTGAAATGACAGAAAGTCAACCGTTACTTTTAGTTTCGCACGAGGCAAAAACAGTGGTCTCATGGATGAAAGTCCTGCGTTTGTTTGTGTTTTGTCGGCGGCTGATGGGAAGATGACTAGTTTTGCAGGTATTTGGACCATAAACCAACGTATTTTTTTGATGATGCCGCTTTATGAAAAGTTGGTTGATTATCGAAGTAGTACAATTCTCCTCAGGTAGAAATGAGTGTCTCTACTCTCTTTCATGAAAATCCGTCCAATAGTTGTAATCTCAAAGGAATGCACCAATACCACTTTTACCGATACCGAGTACTGATATGAGAAGTTGATAATACCATTACAGGTCTAAACAATGACTTGAAAAACATTAAATAACGTTTTATTGTCGTCGGATGTTCTCACATTCTGACTGTAACAAATGGAATATGCAACATGATGCTGTTGCTGATATTCAATATTAACATTCAATATTGTGTTTTCCTGATTGAAACAGAGCATAGTGCTTTGCTGTTGGGGTATTGACAGTTAAAAGAAATATTTAAAATTAAAAAAACTGATACCCAATGTTTGTACATGTATCGGTGCATCCCTAATTTCAATTTGAGCCAAAAAGAAATTCAACCTGGTGGTGGTACTAGATGAAAAGTCAGAGCATCACCAAAGTCATTAAGATACATTGACCTTGAAAGTCTCTACAAAATTCTATGTCAATTTTTGTGTCATATTTCAGTCTAGACTAAAGTGGTGGACTGAACAACCAATTGACCAGCATACCCCCGAGCCACACGACTACTTAAAGAGAAAAGAGAATGCTGGTGAATGTCATGGTGATTGGGAATGTTTTGAAAGCACAAATGTGTCATAAACGCGGAGTCACTGGATATGATCCCAAATCCTTTTTAACAGCCACAGAATGTTTATGATGGTTGTTTTGTAATACGAGCTTATGGAAGCCTTCTTCTGCAGCTATGGTGTTCCCTCAGCATGCAGCCTTGCTGAAATACCTTCTAACTGTCCCCTCCCTCCCCATCTGCTTGTCTGCAGGTATAACCACGGTGCTGACAATGACCACCATCAATACCCACCTTAGGGAGACTCTTCCCAAGATCCCCTACGTCAAGGCCATTGACATTTTCCTCATGGGATGTTTTGTGTTTGTCTTTCTGGCCTTGCTGGAGTATGCCTTTGTCAACTACATCTTCTTCGGTCGAGGTCCCCACCTGCAGAAGAAGGTGGCAGAAAAGGCTGCCAAGTCCAACAACGAGCATAAGAATAGAATGGAGAGCAACAAAGTGCAGGTGGGAAAGGGCTTAACTGTTTGATTAATGACATCATAGAGCCTGTTGTCTGACCATGTAAATAGGCAAAAGTGTTTGGTTCCCAGCCAAAAGTGGGATTAAAAGGCTGCCTCCCAATGGAAAAGAAGAATGCATTGGTCTAACAATAATGTTCTTCTGCATACTACAAGTGTTGCTGGAGGTTTTACCTCTCCAAATTTGACAGAAGTAGTTGTGTCGAGAATCAAATAGTGAGGTACAAACCCGGCCCACTGTAACACCTCCGTATGCCTGGCCCATCGCTGCATAACGTGGACGTGATAGTTGGACTGTCGGTTTCAGAAAGTTGCAAAAAAGGTTGGATGCAAGTGTTTCAAATGCTGATGCTATTAACCTGGAGTTTTGTTCTACTTCCACCTATTTCCAGCTCCTAAAAGAAAACACTATATGCTTCCTTCAAAAAATCGTTTGAAGAACAGTATTGCCTAAAAAAGGATTTACCTATATGGGGCAGTCTGGAAGGCAATGTTCAAATTCCCATGCATTTCTCCGAAATATGATGCTGCCAATTGACTTTGCAATATATTGTTTTGGTTACAAAATGAATTTAATGAAATCTGATAACCTTCTTCCTCAGGTTGATGCTCATGGGAACATCCTCCTGACCAACCTAACCAGCGACATGAGTGGAGCAGATATGATGGGCGTTCTCAACGACCCTCGGGCTACGATGTTCTCGTATGACAGTGCCAGCATACAGTACCGCAAGCCCATGACAAGCCGAGACCTATATGGGCGACCGCCCATGGACCGGCCAGTGAGCAACAAGAAGAGCCGCTTGCGGAGGAGGGCCTCGCAGCTCAAAGTCAAGATCCCCGACCTCACGGATGTCAACGCCATAGACAAGTGGTCTCGTGTCATCTTCCCAATCGCATTTACCTTCTTCAACCTGGTCTACTGGCTTTACTATGTCCATTAGGGTGGCAGTTAGTGAGCCTGTGTGGCAGCGCCACTGCTAAAGATTTCATAGAAAAGCTACCTAGGTCTTGTACAGCAATGGAAATTAAGGAGCGCTCAGTCCATTTGTACAAATCCTGTTTTGGAATGAGTAGTACTGGATGTCTTTACAATGTAAATAAAATTGAATATATAAATATATACATATATATATATATATATATATATATAAAACAGAGTTATAATTTATTAAAAATCCTATCACTTTTCCTGTACTCATCTATAGAAAATAGATAGATAAGAATAATGGAATTTAAGACAGTAAAGGTATGGTATTTCTAAGGTCAAACATGCCGAAAAGACTTTGGTGACTCCAACATTACGGGCAATGATCTTTCAATTTGCTCGATCTCTTTTTCTTACCTTCTGTTATCTCACTTTTTTGCATGTGAATGGAACACAACTTTGTGTTAGCTTAGGTAAAAAAAAAAAAAAAACAAGAGAAAAGGAAAACCAGATCAAAACAAGTAGTAGTAACAAATGACATTGTAATGAGTTCGTCCTTATTTGGTTTAAACCCAGTGCTGTGACTGAGGTACATTTTTGAGGAGTTGGATATGTATCATTGTGTTGAAATCCTTCTCACACAGTCATGCTTGAGCTTACAAAACATGTCAGATTGCTTTTCATGAATGACGTGTTTTTTCTGAAAAGTTTCTTTTCATTTCTGTAAAAAAAAAAAAAAAAAAAGCTTCACGTGGCTCTACTGAGCCACTCCGGCTCAGTATTGTATTATAATCATTATACTGTATGCTTTCGAACAATCATTGCATTTAAGGTAAGTTCAGGACAGATGTTAATTCGGAACTCCACTGATTTCTCAAAAAACAATGTTGTCAAATTTGTACCTACTATATCCTCACACCGTCTAGGGGGCATGTGCAATGTCACTTTCTTTAAAGGAAATCAGGTTAAGAATAAGCAATGATGTCGCCATAGGCTCAAAATCACATTCAAAATTTCAAGCCCTGATAAAACTCGCTGCTGGTTTTTGAAATACGTAGTATTACAGAATTTCATTGAACATTTTCGTCCGAAACCTCAAATTTTACTGTCCGTAATTGTTTGAATTGCATAGAGGTTCATCCACCTCAATGTGTTCAATAATTTAAACAGCAAGTACGAGGTCAAAGTTGCTTTTATTTGTCAGCGGATTACCTTTCAGGTTATTATCGGGGCTTATGTGGTCAGGGCCAGGGATCAGTTGTTTGCTCCAGTCCTACAGTCGGGTTCAAAAACATTGTTCAAGACAAACTAGTGGTGAGGACAGCAAGAGTAGGTGTGACCAATTAGCATCGCACTGTAGTACGTGTAGTAAGTGTAGTTACAAGCATAGAAATTATATAGATAATGATATAGATAATTTATCACCCCACAAATCCTGCTCAGTGCCAATGCAGGAAGGAGCGTCTGCTCTACAGTATGAAGGTAGGGCGTATAGGTCAGGGACATGGATGGGCTTTATAGCAAGGCTGAGTTTCATGCAGGAGACTGGAGTTTGTGTTCTGTTGCAGACCTGCAATTAAGATTTGTCTTTTTTTCTTTCAAATAATCTTTCCCCAAAAGTGTTTTAGTTGCCCAACAGTAACCCTAGGGCTCCAGACAAAGCGTCAGTATGTGTGTGTTGGTAACCACACCTTCACAATTTTGTCATAACCAATATCTTGCCCTAACCTTAACATGGTTGCCATACACAGAAAATACATTGGCATTGAATGTAAACTAAAACATTATCATTGAACGTAATCAAGGGTTTTTGCAGAATTGTCCATCATGTCCAATATGGTGTCACATGAAAGATGGGACGAGCGTTACAATCACAGGAAACCAAAGTGAAGCAAACCTCTGTGTGCTGTGTCCCCTGCTGAGGCAGATCGTATGTGCTGAAAACTGTAAAAGAAGAGAAAGCAGATGTGGACCTTTCTTTTTTCTCTGCTGTACTCAGGTCTCTCTTGCAACAGAGATAATGAGATTACCTGATTAAATAAAGGTTATATATAATGGCTGTTGACTTCACAATGGTACAAGCATTCTTTACAGAAACACTTCCCCCATGCCGGACAGAATGTCCTAATGATATATGACGTGGACATTGCTTTCACCTAAGGAACTAACATCTACACATGGGTAACAAATGAGAAGAAACATCTACACACACAGTGTGTTCCTCCAGGATTCCCCAGAACAGCTTCTGCTCCGCTTGTCATTTTGTAGATTCTCCGAGCCTGAGTACTCTCCTGGACAAACAGTGTTCCTCCAAAGTCTGTTCCCTCGGTTGGTGTTTTGGTGATGGTTGGTGGATCTCCTAAAGGTGTTTACCTGGTTACAGATCGTGTGACTGTGAAGGCCATCGGACATGATTCACATACATTATATTGGAAGTTTTCAACGAGCCATCATGATCTGAATGGAGACATTACATTCTTGATGTTTGCCCACTCTTTTATTCAGGTTTTTGCTTTAATACATCTGTTGGGCACAAGCTTTTATTGAATAAGCTGAAGCAGGGTTATAAGCACAGAGTGTCTGGGTGGGACTTATGCACTCAGTGACCAGAAAATTAGAAACCACTGTGAGTACGATGTTGGCACTGATAACAGCCACCACAACCCGTCTTATCCATGGCCCTGTAGTGTGCTGCTGATACAGCCGACCTGGCCAACTCTACATTACCAAGATTGATGGATGGACCTGCGTTCTATGGATGCTGTGTTTGTGTTCATTCCAAAGGTCTTAGCAGGATTTATTGCACAACTTGACCAGCTGTGGCCAGGTCATTCCATCTGAATGTTCCTTGAACAGTTCCTGGACATTCTTTGACATGAAGGCAGACATGAAGCATTATTGAAAGTGTCCATCATGATGAATCCAGTTTTCTACTTCTACACCTTAAACCATACTGCTCGTATTGGTACTGAACGTTGGTATTAGATTTAGATTGCGGTGTAGAAATTTGTCCAAAATTGGCAGAATTTCTTGGGATGCTGAGCTGTTCTTAACCACGAAACACTTTCAACAGCGTGCCATGGACAGGAGAGGCACCCTGTGTAGTTGTCTGCTGTTACACCCCCATGCAGGTAGAATGAGACACATTGTGTTTGTGTAATCCCTTATTCTGGCCAGTCACCTGCTATCTCCCGCATTTACAATCTTGGTAGACCAAACATTCATATTTCTTTATTCTAGTCCTTTCATTGTTTTACTTTGAAGAAGCTGCCTTTTAGAGCCCATAAACTCTACAGTCCTTGTGAAACACAATTGTGTTGACTTTCTCTCTCATCTGCCCACTTGCAAAGCAAACAGGGAATTTGATTTGTTGGCTTTCGTAGAGACATTATGTAAATGGTAACTTTTCACTTTTTTTGGCTCAAGCAGGGTTTCTATTTTTCTGGTCACTGAGTGAGTTAGTCCACTGTGGGATTGATCAACAGCTGCGTTTTCTTAAGGGACAACTTGGGCCTTATTTTCATAGCTTTGGCCATCTTTTCTGTCAGTAATGCAAACATTTTGCTCACAAACTTACCTGCAGAGATCGCAGCAACAAACTCAGAGGGGTCAAGAAACCTGAGAAGTCAGACAGTCAGACAGGTTGTAAACAATTACCTGTTATCCAGATGATCTGAACTACATATTTGGAGGTAAATATAAAAGTGAGTGCGCCGAAATATTGGCAATAAGTGATGATGAAAAAAAATCAAGCGGTATTTCCCAAAGTTAGTCTTTGGAAATCTATCCTTCAAACCTGTCTTTAGCTGTGTTCCCACTTTTCCATCTAGTATTACTGACATCAAATACGGCCTTAACTATAAAAATAGAGAAGAGTAAGACATAATGAGATACAAAATTGAAGTGGTGTTAGGTAAAATGTTTTTTTCTTCCTCAAAATTTCCCCAGTTGAGGACAAACTGTTACAGCTGCAACCACAACTTGATGGTGAGGAGAATGGTGGATTGCTGGTCTTATCAGGGCTTTAATAAACAAAAAAAGCCCCGATAAGCAGATAGACTTCTACAGGACGCAGTGTACTCTTTCCTGATGGCTGAATATTGTGCCTTTACCAAGAATCTTAATATTCCACAGGGTTTAACTTCTATCTAGTGAGTAGAATTCAAAACAAATCATTTACTTTTTTTGGGATTAAGAAGAAAGAGAAGCAAAAACAGGAGTTTTAAGATCTTTTCTGAGGTAAAGTACGGTACCATTATCTAAGTGTAGACTGTAGGATTAAGACATTCCAGCATTACGAAACAATCTTTTGAATTCAATGCTGAAAAAGAATCGTGTGCAAGGCTGGTCTCCATGCTGCCAGCGCTGCTGTTTTTAGACTAAGCCGAGTGGACGGACAGAAGTGAAAGAAAACTTGTCTTTCTTCACCACAAAGGAATCTGAGCAGACGGACACGTTTTTCTGTGATCGGGAGAGCTAATGGAAGACCTGAACAAATGGTTTGCCTTCAGGCTGTGGAGAGGGAGGACATGTGCTGGACTCTTATTGTGTAATATTCCTGTTCAATGTTTCTCTCATGCTCTATATGTGCTCACACGTGGAATAGGGGGTGGGCGTGTTTGCTTGTGTGCGTCTTTCTGCTTGTTTACAGGCAAATACAGGACACTGTGCAGGAATGGTTTTGTCATTGTCCGTGTGAGTATGTGTGTGTTTGTGTGTGTGTGTGTGTGTGTGTGTGTGTGTGTGTGTGTGTGAGAGTATAAGCATATGGAGTGTGAGAGGGAGAAAACACTAAATACAAATTCTCTGTATCAACTTACAGATACAATTTAAATAAAACTGCTGACATCTCTACCAACTACATGTTAAGTGTATTTTTGCTGGCCTATATATTTGTCTGCAAAGTGTTTTTGTCTATCATTGGATTTAAACTTTAGCATGTCGATATGTGCTGAATCAGTTTAACCAAACAGAAGGTACACTCTCAGTCCATTCCCCCGGCCCAGCAATTTTGAAGCATTCCAAACAGTTTAACCCAATGAGGCTATATTTATCCATGTGCACAGTTGACTGCTGCACAAGTTCAGATGTGATGGCGGATCTTGAAGGCGACTGTTGAGATAATAGTTGAAGCGAGCACTTGTAGGAGTCTCGTTAGCTGGGCATTGTGAATTTGACGATTGAATGATTTTTTTCAAACTGATAAAAATTGCAGAAAATGAACAAAATCTCAAAAAGAACTGTGTGGCACATTTGTCATTTATTTTATCTGATATGAAAAAAATGTATCATGCACCTTATTTCCCCGATACCTTTCTTCAGACTATTCCAAAGCTTGTGTTGTAGGTTAGTGAGGACTTCACTACTTTCCAGTTGTTATGCAGATGATACACAATTATATGTATCGATCAAGACGAAACCAACCAGTTCGCTAAACTTCAAGCAGCCTTAAGGACATAAAAACCTGGATGACCTGCAACTTCCTGATGTTAAACTCAGACAAGAAGTTATTCTATGAGGCCCACACCTCCGAAATCAATGATCTAATGATATAGTTTCACTTGATGGCATTGCTCTGGCATCCAGCAGCACTGTAAAGAATCTCTGAGTTATGTTTGATCATGTTATATCCTTTAACTCACAGATAAAACAAACTTCAAGGACTGCCTTTTTTTTACCTACATAACAAAAAACTAAGAAAATAAATCATATTACTCCTGTACTAGCTTCTTGCACTCTCCCTGTAAAATCTAGAATAAAATTTAAAATCCTTCTCCTCATCTATAAAGCCCTGATTGGTCAGACACCATCATATCTTAAGGAGCTTATAGTACCATATTACCCCACTAGAGAGCTGCGCTCCCTAAATTCAAGGTTACTTGTGGTTCCTAGTCTTAAAAAGTAGGATGGGAGCCAGAGCCTTCAGTTATCAAGCTTCTTCTGTGGAACGAGCTTCCAGTTTCAGCTGGCTGGCTCAGGTTTATAGTTAGGGCTAACTCAGGTTTATAGTTAGGGCTAACTCAGGTTTATAGTTAGGGCTAACTCAGGTTTATAGTTAGGGCTAACTCGGGTTTATAGTTAGGGCTAACTCGGGTTTATAGTTAGGACTGGCTCGGGTTTATAGTTAGGGCTGGTTCGGGTTTATAGTTAGGGCTAACTCGGGTTTATAGTTAGGGCTGGTTCGGGTTTATAGTTGGGGCTGGTTCGGGTTTATAGTTAGGGCTGGCTCGGGTTTATAGTTGGACTGGTTCGGGTTTATAGTTAGGGCTGGCTCGGGTTTATAGTTAGGGCTGGCT